TATATGAAATAAGAATAATCATCAGGCTGCTTGTCTCATTGAATACAGCAATAGCAAAACACAGCACCTGGCTGATATAAGGGTCTGAGCAGGAGACTGAAACAATTACAGAGTGGTCACAGATAAAATTATTGATGTTGTTAGATTCACAATAGGACAGTTCAAGAAGAAAATACATGAGTACCAGGGAACACACTACACCCCATGTGTAAGACCCAGCCACCAGAAGAGCACAAAGCTTCTGAGACGTAGTAATAGTATAGAGCAATGGGTTACAAACTGCCACAAAATGGTCATAGGACATTGTTTCTAACATGAAAGTTTCTGTCACTGCAAAAATGCAAGCAAAGCAAAATTGCAAGCTACAACTAGAGAAAGAGATGATCCTGTCTTCCACAACCAAGTTCTCCAACAGTTTAGGTGTAACTAAGGTGAAATAACAGAAGTCTACAAAGGATAAATGACTGAGCAAAAAGTACATAATTGTGTGGACCTTCGAATTGATCTTGATGATTATTATCATGTCCAAATTCCCCACCACAGTGACTGTGTAGATGAACAAGAAAAACAGAAAGAATGGAACACAGAGTTCTGGGTATTCTGAGGAACCCAGGAGAATAAAAGTAGGTCTGCTGCTTTGATTTCTTTCAGATAACATCATCATTCCTGCTGGATTAAAAAAAAAGAAGCGTTATTCCTTAAAAGCAGAACTGAATAGAAAGAGGAAAGAGGCTTCATGTGTTTCTGTGAAGAGCTATACAGAGCAGTGATAATCAAAGTGTGGTCGCCAAACCTGCAGCCCCATCATCAACCTCCTGAGTCAAAACCTCTGGGATGAGGCTATTTGTGGTTTAACCCACCTCCAGGTAAGTTTGATGTATGCCAATGTGTGAGAACCACTGATGTACAAATATATATAGCAATCATTCTATTATTTAAATGTCAGCCCCGTCAATATAACATCAAGTTGAACATATAAATTTGACAGAAAATACATTTTTAAAAAATACACAAAAGAGAAGAAGAAGTACAAATTACCTCGTTATTGATCTAAGAGTGATACTAAGGATCAAGTAGATGGCTTGGCATTTTATTGGTAGAACATAAAATCATAGTATTAATTGCAATTACATTTTATAACTTTTCTAGGCATAGTACAAAATTAAATGACCATAGAGGTTAAGAATTATAATAAACCTTAAAATGTATCTAATGTATGATGTCCACCTAATGATTGATACTTTGCTATAGAATCTCATCGAGATGCTTTTATAACGTCCATTAAAACCTCCATCAATGTGCACTGCCCCCTAGGGTATTTTTATGGATCTTTTATTGACATTCTGCATAACTATTATTATTTTACTAAATAAATGGAATCTAATAAATGTTTATTACTTATTCAGAAATGTGGTTTAGTTGGTCCTTATGAGATATATTTATAGATAGATACATATAAATATGTGTTTTATATAGTATGTTTTCTATATTATATATTTTATAATATTTTTATAATATATAATATTAGAATAAAATAATATTACAACTACTGACAGTATTTTAATACCAAATATATTCAATGATACGATGGAAATTGTATACTGAAAATTACATTTTCTTAACCATTAAGAAATTGTGATTTCAGTCATTTCTAAACTAATTCTTTGAACTTCTATAGTATCATCTACCCAAGAGATATAATTGCTGTGGTCCTGTGTATTTTCAAGGTAAGCTGTTTTAAGTTTAAGGCTTTCTATTCATAGAATTCACATAACTCAGAGAATGAAGGTATCAGAAAAGAATTATTGCCCCTTTTTATCACAAAATTATCTTATTTATCTCCAAACACAATGCGTTCATGAGCACAAACATTAATGATTATTACAGGAATTGATTAAAATTAACACATTTACTTTCTTTTTAGTGGAAATATTTCATGTTTATTTAACATCCCAATTATATCTTTTTTTATTTTTATTTCTATTCATATTAACGGGTACAGATGTTTTGACTACATGGCTTGAGTCAGGGTAGCTAAATGCACCATCACCAGATATGTTCATTGTACCTGTTTAGGGGTTTTTGTTCCTTCCCACTTCCCTTCTACTTGATTTTTATGATTCTTACTTCCTCTGTGAACTTGTTGATCCATGGTTAGTTCCATGTTAGGAAGTGATGTGGTGTTGTTTTTCATGTCAGGCAGTGATTTGGGACAATTTTCTGTCACAGCTACACTAAAATAATATATTGTATGACACACATGGATAACAATGGGATAATTATTGTCTTCATTTTGTTTCCATTTTATCAACTGTTGGTATTATCTCTTTTTTCATTATTTTACAGACCTTCTATTTGTGATATTGATCTTTTGTCTGGTTAATGTGACCGTCACCAGTTGATTTCATCAAATAAATAATTATTATTTGTTAGATTCTTTCTTTGCAGATGTGGTCAGGTCCGATAACCCAGTCATTGGAAGCTTGTCAATGCGGATCTGCTCCCCCCAGGATCCACTGCACCGAGAATCTGCATGTTACCTTCCTGATTAATTTGTATGTACTGAAAGTTGCAATCACTGATTTTGTTACTTGATTTGATGAAATTCTGGGTGATGTAGTAATACTTTAGTGAATTAAAATAATAAATTAATTTAATTTTTTCTGACTTTTTTTTGTCCCTTCATCACGTACTTTCTTTTGTTAACAACAAAGATCAAAAGGGCTCTCCTTTCACAGCTCATGCTTTCTATATACAGCACAATTACCAGAATGCATTGTAATAATGGTATTCTGACACGTATGGATTGATAATGTTTAATTGTTGTGTGTGAGAAGGTGAAGGTTTATTGATCTTAGACAACACTGACCAACACACAAACACATACAATCCATGGTGAATTAAATGTTATTAATTTCATTCCAAGATGAACAAACTTTTTGATCATCATTATCTGAAAAATGTGATTGCGCGAATATGGTAAGTTTTAAATCTTGGTTTACAGTAAGAATATTAAGAATTAAATTGTTTCTTTTAGTTTATAATGCTATCAACATATTAAGACAGGTGGTGGGAAACTTTAATAAATAATGGTGAAGTTAAGTTTTTTGAATGACATTTAGGACAAAACAAAAATACCATAACAATTGATGATGTGGAACAACAATATCGGTGCCTTACACAGTGCATCCTGGAGCCTTGTGTGAAAAACCTGGTTAGCAAGAGAAACAGGAAGAGACAACATCTTCCATTTTCTTTTTTTCTTTTCTATCGTCAGGTCACAGTTATTAAGCCAACATGAATATCAATTTAAATATATGTTGATCAAAGAGAATACAAGCATGTTGGCAGGAAAAACAATCCATCTATGAGTCAAAAGTGTAATCATAATTATTAACCTTACAGCAAGCAGATCTCATAACTGTTTCTGAATTTTTTATTCATCATGTCACTGTGTTTTTAAATAGATTAAAAATGGTTTGACACATCAATTGTGGAGATTTGTGAGATATATTTTTGTATTTTTTGTCCCTTGGTAATCTTTTCGGACATAGCATGATCAACTTTTTTACGTGTATTAAAATGTCGTTTAATATCACCTTCTATTTTAAAAAGGTTGTAGGAAGTTCTTGATAGAGAAAGAACAAATAACTTGGTTAGGATCTTGGGAGACAGTGGCCCTCTGTCGTTTACACTTCAAATGCACATCCCATCCAGCTATGCTTTTAGATCTTTGTAACTCTGCTTCTCATTGCTAACATTCATTGGAGATATTTTTGGAAGATTTGCCATGCATATATAAGTTGAGAGGCATTATATAGTATTATTAATATAATAGGTATAGTTGAAAGGGTATAGGTTTAATGGTCTGATATTTCTTGTTGCTAGTTTCCCAGGTTTCACAGAATTACCACTGATTTGGATGGCTTTCAACATAAATTTATTTTCTCAAATTCTTTGAGAAAGACATCTGGAATCAAGGTTCTGGGAAGCATTTGCTCTGTCGAAGAGAAGTATGGGAGATTCTTCCTTGCCGCTGGTCTGTGAAGCAAACTGCAATTTGCTTCCATCTCACGATGGCCTTCTTTGTGCAACCCTGTGTCGGACCATTGCTGTCTCTTGGAAGGACATGCTCATGGATTCACGGTCACCAGTATCACTATGGTTCATCAAACCCTACTCATAATCCCTATCCTATAGACTATCCATATCCTTATAGACTATTACTATATTCTTCATCTTACTCAATCTCATCTATTAAGATTTTATTCAATAAGGTGACCTTCTGATGTTTGGGTGGTACGATAAAATAGTTTTTTAGAGACAATTTCATCCCACTAGAATACATTTGTTATTTCCATTGGTTTAAAGCTACATTCTATTTGATATTATAAAGCAAGATCTAATAAATTGTTATTACAATAGAAAACTCTTGTGATGTCTAGTCAAAATCTGATATGGATCTCTATCAACAGCATTGCACATACTGTATATAACAATCAATTCCTTTTGGGAATATTCATCAAATATTTGTTTAGGTGATTATTACTTCTGGACACTGTCTTTTTACTCTTTCGTTCCTGAGGCTGTAGATCAAAGGATTCAGCTGGATGTGACCACTGTGTAAAATACAGAAACTACTGTGATTATGAGCATGAGTTTTTAGGTTGGTACACAATAAAGGAAAGCGTCCCATGGAAAATGTGATGGCTGTCAGTGGGAGCACAGGTAGAGAAGCTTTTTGGCGCCCACAGCGAAGCATTTTAGGATGGTGAAAGATGACAATGTGTGTAGTGAGGATGATCCCAGGCTGCTCACTCATCAACAGCATGACAAAACACTTTGAATGATGTAGTAGGATTGGAGCAGAGCAGAGATGATGACAGGTGCTCACAGACAAAATATGAGGATTTAGAACCACGAAGGATAAATGCAAGACAAAATAGGTGAGTGTCAGAAGAACGAGTTATCCCATCGATAGGGCCCAGCCTAACGATAACAGAGCTTTGGGGACATGCAACCGTTGGTAGAGCGATGTACAAATCCACGAATCGGTCATAGGCCCTCACTGCAACCATGACAAGTTTTGCACCACGAAGATGGGCAAAGGAGACTGCATGTGCTGCTGTGAGGGATGGTCCTGTCTCCACAACAAGTTCCCAGCGTTGGGCTGTCACTGTGGACGAATACGAAATGACAGAAGGAAGTGGCTGAGGGAAAGTCAAATGGGCGTGTGGGTTTGGGGCTGATCCTGATTTGTCAGGATATGCGCAGGTTCCCAGACAGTGACGTGTTGATGTCAGGACACCAGGAAACAAGGGCACCTGGAGTCTGCATACTCTGGAAGCCAAGGAGGGTAAATGTGGCTCCAACTGGTATTTCCTTTGGTGACAACATGATTATGTTGAAGCAAATCTGGAATAATGAAACAAACAATTATGTATTGGTGCATTTATATAATTTTGACTGTGAGACATTTGAAAACAAAAAACTATTATTCCAATATCCAATACCAAGATGATTTTAATGGCAAGTGGCCCCTAATGTTATATAGCAAGTTGAGGACTATTTAGTTTATGATGTGAGGAATCTTCTTAGTTTTAACCTTAGTTTTTTGATTATTCTGTAATTGGTAAATGTCAACCTATTCAGTGCCCCCAT